TCACTTTTTTTAGGTCTGGACTCAATGAATCACCCATATTTATCATGATATTAAAGTTTTTATGTTCAAACTTTATTAATGTGTTGAATTTTGCATAAATTTGGTAATGACACAGCATAGTTATAATGACATTATGTCCATATGCACACATTGCTCTACTGATATCTGAAGCAATAGACCCATTGGTTTACTTAGAAATTTTACTTATAGATAATTTAGAAGTAATTATCTTTAAAACCTTGCAGTTATTTTATTCAAATTAATGTTTTTCTTTTTCCGAAAAGAAATATTGCTGAACTATAATCATTGAATTACCTGATCCCTTGGTTTTTTACTTGAAAAATTAATGTACAACAATACATTAAAAATCAGGCTTTAGAATTTAATGAGAATAATTCTCCCAGGCTCTTTTGGAAGCGGTTTTATTGGAGTACAGGAGTTATTAAGTAAACCTCACCCTTGTGACTTAAGAATGAATTGCAACTTCCATGTGATAATTTGTTCATGAAGAATTGAGCACCAGGAAAAATGACTCTGTGTATTGTTAAAAATAATAAAACAAAATTATTTTCATTATGTTATGTTCACTTTGGATGACTCAGTATTTTTTGTTGTTGTTTTCCTATGTTCTAGAAAGGTATACATGAGTGGAATTTTAGTGCATCCTCTGTCAGAGGAGTGAGGTAAGTTTCCTTGGTACATTTTATTCACTTAAAAGATATTCTTCTGGACTATTTATAGCCTGACTAGGACTTTTATTATGAGTTTAAAGTCCAAAGCATTTCAGGAATCCCTTCAAATGATGGAAATGCCCAACCTTCTTAAATCTCACTGTTTCCATTGTGAAAGAATTTTCAACAAGATGTTCACTGTTTGTGGAATCGACTCTTGAGTTTGTTGCCTGCTTAAAATATGATGACTTTGGGGTAAATGTGAACTGTGGACCAGAATCAAATTGTAGATAAAAGGGAGCTAATGTGGAGGTCTTCTTGAGCCGATTGAGTTTTTGGCTTATGTTATAGGATGGTTTTCTGTTCCTTTTGGTGACCTACCCCCCCCCCTCTGCCCCCACGTAGATCCAAAGCACACAGTACATCTACCAGCTTGTGTCCTGTAGGTAACATGAGATCATAGGGAATCCACTTTTTAAAACTCTTCCTAAGGTCACTGTTGAGGCAGTGTTAGAGTGACAAACTTCGGTTCTAACATAGCTGCCACAATATGGCTGTTATAATGCCAGTGGCTCAGAAAATATCATTTCTTGGGAATTAGAAATAGGATTATTTTTTCAAATCAAGAGTCACAGATTACATGGCTAAGTATTTGTTAGACAGATGCTCATACTAAACCAATTCTTAAAAATTCCAAAACAAATTTAATTGTGTTTTCTACTATTTATCCCCATGTAATAGAAATGGAAGGCAACAGATTTCTGCAGGCCAATTATGCAACATCCTGTTGCCTTTGGAACAATAGAAATCGGCTTTGTTAGAGCATGAACTGGTAGAGCAGTCTGAGTCACCAATAATTTTAGTTTGGCTGGTAGAATTACCTGTT